GGGAAAGCAGTTGAAGATGGTAGGGGGATGGGAGAACAAGTGTCGCCGGGGTTTGGGGACTGGCGTGGCGCCGACTAGGCACCAATTTTTTCGAGTAGTGGGTGGGGTTTTAGGGTTGGGGGAAGGTGGTTTCGGGAAGGAGAAGGGCAGCGACGGGAAGGGGAGTGGCTGCCGATGTCGGTGCTGTCAGTGCGAATGGGGAGAGTGGCCGGCCCAAGGGTTTAGATGGCTTCCACGGTGGCTGGGGCTGGGCTATGGTGGTGGGTGAGTTTTATATTTTTATTTTTTAATTATTATTAAATATTTTTTTAAAAATTTAAATAATATATAAATGACAGCCAAGTATAGGTTGCCACATGGAAAATTAAGTCTAAATGAGTAACGGAGTTAACGTCCATTAGTCATTTGGGAATCTGTAACATATTTGATAAATTCAGGGATATATGGTGAATTTGAAAATTGTTTTGGGTATATTTTGAATAAAAAAATAACTCAGGGGCATTTGGTGAAATTTCCATTGAAATTTTTGTGATTATAACTACTGATTAGTTTAACTTAATTCCAGATTATTTTGAACACGTAAATTCGTGTTTTAATTTTTAGATTTTCGTTCGTTAATATTAATCCCGTTTTAATCCCGATCTGGTTCTGAACTCATCCGATTTTAATAAAAGAAAGTAATAGTTTTCATCTAGAAACAACGTTTTAAGAAAGACTCACTAGCTTTGGTAGTGAGAACCACCCTCTCGTGGCCAAATTCAGCCTCTAAGTATGATTTTCGGGCAGTTTTTAATTTTAACGATGTTTTTTTTTATGCTTAAAATTTTATCCTTGAGTTTGATAAAAAAAAAGTAATTTTATTTAAAGTTAATTAAGCATAAATATATGTTTTTATTGAAGTTTTAAGAGGTTTTCATCATATTATATTGTTGGAAATTACTTGGGTTAGTAATATTAATAGTTGGTTGTTTTTTTTAGGAAGTCATTATTTCCTAGAAGAATTTTAATTGAGTATTAAAGTTATGTGTTGATAAAGTTTTGAAGGGTTTTAAATTAATCTAAAGTGCTGGAAATAGTTTCTAAGTACTACTTTTGATGTTTTATAAAGAGGGTTTAATCATCACCCATTAAAAAAGGAGATTATTAGGGGTTTTTAAATAATTTTCAGATTTTTATTAAACTTTAAAATTGTTGTAATTTCATGTATAAGAGTGTATTTTAAGGTATTTATGAAGAAAATTTAAAGAACTATATATAAGCCTTTAATTTTAACTAAAGAGAAGGTTTTAAAGTGTTGTTTGATTTGGATTTCGAAGGTTTTAAAGTAAGTTAGTATTGCTGTAAATTTGATTGGTTGGGTATTGATTGAGATGTTACTGTTTGGTTTAGGAGAGGAGTTTATTGAAGGTGATTTCTAGATAGTAAAGTGACATACCAATTCGTTTATTCAAGGTACGTACGAGTTACGAAACCTTGCCTTTAGATGCATGTTTAAGGATGTATCGAGAACTTATTATCATGTATAGAGAAGACTGGGCTAAATTGTTTGGTTATACATTGTGATTTTTGGATTTTTGTGTATGAGGCATGTTTGAGATATAAGTATATGACTACGGTTGTGGGTGATGTATAAGTGATTGTCTTATCAATTGGATATGTTATGATTAATTAAGTTATAAATTCTTGGTTGTCTATAAGTGGAATTAATTTTGATAATGGTTCAATGAGGTTAAGTTTTGATACTCTTTCATGAATTAATCATGATTGGAGTAGAGGGAGTTTTTTAAAGTCATTTAAGACGAGGTTCATGATTTGAAGTGCCCTATGCACTTAAGGTGTTTATACACCGAGGTAGTTAAAGAATTCAATAGTAAATACCCTAATAAATCAAGAAGTGAATGGAAAATTTGGATTGCTTGGAATGATGTGATATTTAATTGATTATATTATTTGCATATGAGTCATCACCAAGTCTAAACATGTATATCACGTAAAGTTCAAGATGGATGAGCAATAAAACTCTGGATTGGTGCATCAAGACCCTAGGAACGACCCGGGTGGTGGTGGAGCAGGCCAGGGTTTCCAGGCGATTGCGTAGCTTAGCTTTAGTCTAGCATAGAATCACTCTAACCTAGCTTTTGTTTGGTATAGATACCAAAATGTGGACTATCTTTTGTACTAGGACATAATTATTATATATATATGTACATAACCCTAATTTCGTAGGTCGGTAATTAATTTTTTAAAAACAACAATTTTAGGACTCAATATTTATTTATTTTTTTTGTCGATTTATCATTAAAAAAATTCAGGTTTGAAAATGCAGAAAATTACAAAAATTTGTTTTGGGCTGGAAATACAATTTGCGACGGAATATTTCGTCGTAAGTTACATATATGAGACGGAATTTTCCCTCGCAAAATATAATTTGCGACGGAAATTTCCTCGCAAAATATGATTTACGACGGAATTTTCCATTGTACAAATATACATTGCGACGGAAAATTCCGTCGTAAATTATATTTTGCGACGGAAAATTCCGTCGCAAATCATATTTTGCGAGGCAAAATTCCGTCGCAAATTTTATTTTGCGAGGAAAAATTCCGTCGCAAATATGTAACTTACGACGAAATATTCCGTCGTAATGTAGCTTTGCGACGGAACTTTTTCCGTCGCAAATTTGCGACGGAACTTCATCAAAGGCCAATTCCAAGTCCGACGATATTATTTCCGTCTTAAATTCCGTCGTAAAGTTGGTTTACGACGGAATTTCCGTCGTAAAATGGCCATTTTCCTACAAAGGGTTTTCCGACAACCATTTACGACGGAATTCCGTCGTAAACCAACTTTACGACGGAATTTACATAGTTTACGACGAACTTTTTCCGTCGCAATTAAGGTGTTTTCTAGTAGTGATCTAAAGTAATGACAATCAGGGGTTGGGGTACACGGGGTATTAGCCGTGCACTTTTCTCGAGTTCCTCTAATCTACGAGTCTCTTATTTCAAATACTTTTAAAAACTAGGAGTTAGATGAGATCTCATACTAACTACGGTTACGAAGTCGCGCCCGTTGTCGTTGGATGTTTATTGATGTTTCCGAAAGGAGGCATGGGGTTTTCTTTTATTGATGTTCCAAACGGAGCATGGGTTGGACAACCTTGTCTATTGCTTAATCCAATGAATTAAAAAATGATGAGTTAATTACTTTTAACTAGGGAAGTCTTAGTAAATTAATAGTTGAGTCATGTATTTGAGTTTATAATTAAATTGTATTCGATTATTGATTATTAGTATCATGCTAGGGATTTCTTATTATGTTTCGCAGCTTGTATGTACTCAGCTTTGCTGATTGCGTGCTTTTGTGTGTCTTTTCTTTGGTCATGGCCTTCGCCTTTCAATAAACCTGTAATGATCCAATCTTTACACTTGTATTATTGGGGAGCAGACTCATCACAGGTATTTACATAGTTTTGACTTGTATCAAGGTGGTGGGATTTTGAGTGGAGAGTTGGTTATTGTTCGCAATTTATTTCTTTTCATAAGTTTGAATTTATTTAAACTCTGGTTTTATTTATTTACTACTTTTGTGGGGTTTTGAATAAGGGACTTAATGGTTCCAAGTTGTAAGATTTAATTTGGTTTTTGTTATTGGTTTTGAAATTTATTTATAACTGATATAGTTTTTCCGCTGCTAATTTCCGATAAAGCCTTAACGTTTGAACACGTGGCGGTAGCACGCCAGTAATTCTCTTGAATTTTGTTCAGGGTATTCACAGGTTTAAAGAGAGAATTATTGGGGTGTTACACTTCATTATTTCAAGAACAATGGATTTTTAATCTTGGTTAACCAATAATTGAAAACCATTGTTCTTGAAAATTTGAAGAACAAATCTCTAATGGTTAAATATTGAAAAAAAAAACTATATGAATGAATTGATGGGTGAAATCGTTCAATCGAAACTAATATTGAATCATTGACTGAATTGAATCAAAAAATTTGAAAATATTTTGATTTGGATGAAGAAGGATGAGACATTTTTTTATTTTATTTTTATATCAAATTTTGTGTAATTATTTATGAAAACTAAAATGATTTTAAGAAATATAATTTTTGAAATTATAAACGAATGTAGGATTATAAAAATGATTTCAATTAAATTGGCATTAAAAATATATCAAAAGTAACTGTTGACGTGTATAATTTCAGCCAATCACATTGCGCCTATTAAGTTTAACTAATGATAATTGACTATAACATCATAAGGTCAAAGGGTTAAAATAATACATTGACATGTGTGTAAAATTTGAATGTGTCAATTTTTTCTTGGATAGAGGGAGTTTAAACTAGAGTGTAAGCCTCTAAGGTGCACCTAAGGGTATTTATTTTCATTAAATGTTATTTTGCTCATTTTATATACTTTAACGTGAACTCGATTGTGATTTTATAATATATGATTAGATCTGCTAGAATTCACCATTGTCTTAATTTACTGGAATATACTTTTATAGCTTTAGTGTGGATACATCGTATGTATGTAAGAAATATGTAAATTTGGGTTTCAAAGCAGTTGCATTAAAACGATTAAATCATCAAATTCACATTTCAAGATTTTGTGCGTGAATTTGAACGTCATTTGGAATTTATTGAGTTATGTACACTCATAAAAATTAGCTTTTGATATCACTTGATATGGATGTGTAAATGTTTGTAATAGTGAAAAGTTGTATAATAGGCATTCAACTATTGTCTAAAATCACATAATTAATTCTTAAGTTTAATAATCTTGGACCCATAACCCTTAATTAAATCACTAATTAGCAATTTGCTAATAAGTATATATTTATTACTTGTTTTATTGGTTTCGAACGGAGGTTCGAGCAATCTTTGTGCTATTTTTTCTTCCCAAATTGGCTGTCTTTCTTAATTGTCTTATCATACATTTACTTGGTCAATTGATCGAGCATTAACTAAACTGATTGTGTGATGATTATAGGTAGGCTGCGAACTCTATGGAAATCAAGAGTTTGCTAATGGCAACATGCAAATATGTAGCTAGGACTATACAAGAAAATACACCAGAAGAGATCAGGAAAATGTACAACATCAAAAATGATTATACTTCTTAACAAGAGGAAGAAATTCGAAGACAGAACACTTGGGCTTTTGATGCAATCAGACGTCATAATTAAGAGCTAGATGTTAAGCTGCTGCAATTGCATACTTCATGTTTTATCATGTACTGCATTGTTGAATAAGTACTGTTTGGGTCCAATTTAGTCCAATTGGGCCTAAGCACTAAATGATCCAATTAAAAGCCCAAGGTCAAGGTTCAATTCTCCAATTGTGCTAAAGTCAAAGGTCAGCCCACAAAGCAAGCCAATTGGGCTAAGGCCCAACCTCTCCATGAATGATGAGGTATAAAAGCCATCATATTGATTCATTCAGGGGGATTCATATTCGGATTCATTCATAGATTCATAGGTATATTCATACATTCTGAAATATTCCATAAAAGCCTCAAGCAACAAACTCTCTTGCATAGTGTCTTCTTCTTACACATTGTACTGACTTTAGCATCGGAGGGGCCTTCCTCGGCAACACCCCCGAGGCTAGTTTACGTGTGTTTACTGTGCAGGAAATCCTCGGCCCAACATAACTTGGACCGAATCCAGCCTTCTCCATTTCAGCGGACCTTCGGCAAGGTCCCATTGTTTTCACCCGAAACAATTTGGCGCCGTCTGTGGGGAAGACTTTCAAAAATCTTTAAGCCAAATTCCTAACCAAGATCATCTTGCAATTATCTTAGCAGCAATGGCTAAGAACCGCAAGAGCAAAAGCCTCCGTCAAGGAGCGGGCGAAAAGCCTAAAACCCCTACACCATCGCCCTCGCCGGACCGGAACTCTCCCAAGGGTGCCGGCTCGGGGGGAGGGTCATACAAGGAGGATTCCCTATCTCCCGTAATTCATGACTCTCAATATAGGCCGGGCCTCTCTCGGTCTAGCAGGGGTCAGTCCGATCATAGGACATATTCAGTGTCCCAAAGCCAACCATCGGCTGCGCGGCCTCATTCCCACACTCGGCCGAGGACCCCTTTGACGGGGCCCAGCTCGGAAGAGGTGGCAAGAGCGCTGGCAGTACTCATGGAGGCGATGAGGGCACAAAATATGCCACCACCTCGTGATCGAACTCCTCCGCATACCCGGCATCAGCGGAGGAAGTTAGACCATGATGGTGGGAAGCTTCCTTCCTTCCGGGAACTGGAAGAGTGGGAGGAGGATTCTTGGAAAAATGAAAAACAGAGGAAAAAGAACCCTCAATGTTTAAAAGGATCCTCATCCTCAAGACCAGAAGCGCATAAGAGCAGTAGCTCAGCTTCTCGGCCAGAATCTACTCACCGAGAACCTGAGACTGTTCGCAGAAGCGTCCTTGACCGACTCGGCGGCCAGGAACCGAGCGTGCGTAGTCGCCTCTCGTTCCCTGCAGCCGAGGCCCAGACTTCCCAGCCAGGGACGAAAACCACTCCTACCTCTCTAAGAGGGCGGAGCGCGGTCCCTTCGGCCAGGAACAAGGGCAAGGCCGTTATGCTACCCGCTAGTTCACCATTCGAGCAATGGATACTGGAAGAGCGCGTACCCACGGTTAAAATCCCTTCGCACATCACATATGACGGGACCACGGATCCGAAGGACCACGTGGCCTCGTATGAGACTCATATGCATCTTTGCCCCAGATCCGAGGCGACATGGTGCAAATATTTCCCTACCACTCTCAAGGGGGTCGCGCAAGCGTGGATCTCCAAGGGAGTAAGGCAAGGCTCCGTAACAGGGTGGGATGATCTGTCCTCCAAGTTCAGGAGCAAGTTTTCCACGGCAAACCGCCGAGAGAAGACTACCGCAGAGCTCATGAGTCTGCAACAGGGGGAAACCGAAAGCCTCCGAGACTACCTGACCCGTTTCAGTAACGAGTCATCAAGCGTCTCCCAGCTGGACCAGGGGCTAGCCGTTTTCGCAATGCAGAATGGCCTTCAGCCAGGAAAGTTCCTAGACTTCATGGTCATGCATACCCCGCAGACTTTGGAGGAAGCTCTTAGTGCTTCGGATAAGTTCATCCGAGCCAAAGAATGGAACAAAGCGAAAACCCAACCTCAATCCGGGGGAGGGAAACAGAGGCAAATACCCTTGTCTGAAGGCCAAGGCCATAAGGCAAAGGGAAAGTCAAAGGCCCCGGAGCAATCTTTGGCCAACGACCCGAAGAAGGAAAGATTTGCCTCATACACAGGCAGATACGAGTCCTACACTCCGCTCTCTCTTCCACGCGCCAAAATTTACAGTGTGACGAAGGAGGAGCAGAGTTACCGAAAGCCGAGACCACTCCCAGAGTGGTATCAGCGAAAAAATAAAAATCAGTGGTGTGAGTTCCACGAGTCTTCGGGCCACAACACTGAGGAGTGTATCCAACTGAAGGACCAGATAGAGGACATGGTCCGGAAGGGATACTTGAAAAAATACATCGCGGATCACCGCGAGAAAAAAGAATCTGAGAGGTCAGCAAAGGACCCTCGGCAGGACCTTGATTTCCCCCGGAAAAAACAGTAAAAAGCCGGAGGGGAAATTCCCTCCGATCAATGTTATTTCGGGAGGAATATACTCTCAGAGGGAGCACAAGCGCCACCTTAGAGCTTTGACTCACCAGGTGAACAACGCTGACATTCAATCTCCCCAGTCGCCGGTGCCGAACATGACGTTCACAGCCGCCGACTGCCGGGGGATTACGTTCCCTCACGAGGATCCGTTGGTGATCATCGCCACGGTGGCCAACCACGACGTCAACAAGGTCCTTGTTGACGGTGGCAGTGGAGCAAACATTCTGTTCCGAAAGGCCTACAATCAAATTAAGCTGAAGCCCAAGCACGTTACGCCGGTACCCTATCCGGTATCCGGGTTCAATGGGGCTTCAACTTATCCAGATGGGAAGGTGACACTTCCTGTCACCATCGGTTGCGATGAGGCAGCCCGGAACGTCATGATTGAATTTTTGGTCATCGACGCTCCTTCAGTGTACAACGTGATTTTGGGGAGACCCATAATTCACGAGATCCAAGGGGTCGTCTCAACTTATCATCAGCTGATGATTTACGTCTCAGACGCCGGCTTCCCCGAAAGGATACAGGGCAACCAAAAGGACGCCCGAAGGTGCAACTACCTCAAGCCATCCAGTAGTCGCCCAGATGACGACAAGGATGAGGAGGAGAAAGAAAAAGAAAGAGAGCCAAGCACAAAAAAGCCGAAAGGCCTAAGTGCTTCGGCCCAAGGATCTGTGCCCAGAGAAAAAGGGCCCGAAAGGGAAAAGGCTAGCTCTTCAGCTGAGCCGCAAGACTCAGAGAGCCAGCCGGAGAACACAAAGACTGGGACACCTGCTGACATTGGCAGCAGGCCAGATTCTGAAGAGTCCAATCCATCAGCAATGGACATGGACCAACAGACTGAAACAGTTGAGTTGGCCGAAGGAGACGCTGAGAAATGTGTAACAATCGGGATGGACCTTGATCCGAACACCCGTTGCGAACTTATTCAGCTCCTTCGGGATAACAGAGATGTGTTTGCTTTCTCGGCAGCTGATATGCCCGGGATAAGTTCAGACCTCATCTCCCATAAGCTTAATGTTGACCCGACGTGTCGACCAGTTAAGCAAAAGAAGTGGAATTACTCCGCCAATAAGAACCGAGACATCGCAGCCGAGGTCAAAAAATTATTGGAGGCAGGATTCATTGAACCTTGCCAATATCCAGAATGGCTGGCAAATGTGGTGATGGTTCAGAAGCCCAATGGTACCTGGAGGATGTGCGTTGACTTCACGGACCTAAATAAGGCTTGTCCAAAGGATTTCTATCCCTTGCCGAGAATCGATCAGCTAGTCAATTCGACAAGTGGCCATGCCTTGCTTAGCTTCATGGACGCATTCTCGGGGTATCATCAGATCTTTATGCACCCCGACGATCGAGCCAAGACAGCATTCGTCACGAACGCTGGGGTGTACAATTACAAAATGATGCCCTTCGGATTGAAAAATGCGGGGGCAACCTATCAAAGGCTGGTGGATCAAGTTTTCGCCGATCAAAAGGGCCGAAACATGGAAGTCTATGTTGACGATTCGATCGTCAAAAGCAAAAAACTAAAGGACCATGTAAAGGACCTGGCTAAAACTTTCGCCACCTTGAGAAAGCATCAAATGAAGCTGAATCCGAAGAAGTGTGTCTTCGGCGTGAAGTCAGGGAAATTCCTGGGGTTCATGGTCAGCAAAAGGGGGATTGATGCCAATCCCTCTAAAGTCAAAGCGGCGCTCGACCTTCCTGAGCCGAAAACGAAGCGGGATGTTCAGCGGCTCACCGGAAGAATGGCAGCCCTCTCGAGGTTCATTTCCAGAGCTTCGGATAAGGGGTTACCTTTCTTCAAAGCCCTGAAACTCCCGAAAACAAAAGAGCTCGTTTGGGGGGAAGAGCAAAAAGACGCCTTTAAACAGCTTCGGGAGCATCTGGCTCAGCTCCCAACGCTGGCTAGCCCAGCTGAAGGAGAAACTTTGTACCTATATGTGGCCGTTAGCCCAGCCACCATCAGCGCAGTATTGCTGAAGGAAGAGAGTAAGAGTCAGCAACCGATCTACTTCGTCAGTCATACGCTGACGGATGCCGAGACTCGCTATCCTCTACTCGAGAAAGTTGCTTTCGCGGTAGTAGTAGCTGCTCGGAAGCTGAGGCCCTATTTTGATTGCCATCAGATAGTGGTCTTAATTGATCAGCCGTTGGAAAAAGTTCTCGGCAAGGTTGAAAAATCTGGTAGGCTAGCCAAGTGGGCTTTTGAGCTCACCGAATTCAGCATCAGCTACCGTCCGAGGGCTGCCATTAAGGCTCAAGCTCTAGCGGATTTCTTGGCCGAATGCTCATACCAAGAAGCGCTAGACAGTGAAAAGAAAGTCTGGACCGTGTTTACGGATGGGTCTTCCACCGAAAACGGTTCAGGGGCAGGAGTAGTGATAACTTCTCCCGAAGGCAAATCCTTTGAGTATGCACTAAAGTTTTCTTTTAAGGCCTCGAACAATGAAGCCGAGTATGAGGCAGAAATCGCCGGCCTAAAATTGTGCATCTCCTTGGAAGCCGATCATGTCTGCTTAAAAACAGACTCTCAGCTAGTTGCATATCAGATCAGTGGCAGCTACGAGGCCAAAGAGCCCTCCATGATAGCTTATCTTGCCAAGATCAAA